AATGAAAGAAAGTAAACAAGTTTTCAAATGCAAATTAAGATGGTGTCAGGATAATGCACAGCAATTGAAGATGAACTTGTTAGCTAGTCATCATAAAGATAAAAACTTCTCCGAATTCTGGAAAATGACTAACAAGGTAAATCCAAAGCCGGGTATTGCTATGAATGTAGAAGGTGTTAGTGAGCCTTTTCAAATTGCCAACTTATTTAAGGAGCATTTTAGGGTGTCACCATCTGAGTGTGTGTATGAGGTGCACAACACGGAGGAGTACTCAAGCAAATGTCATGTTCTTTTTAATGCCAAAGACATAGATTTAGTGATTAAAAATATGTCACGGGGGAAGTCACCGGGCCACGATGCACTCAGTGTTGAGCACCTTAGGCACGCTGGTGTACACTTGCCCAGAGTTGTGTGCATGCTGCTTAACTTTTGTGTAGGTCACTCATACCTCCCTGGTGACATGATAAAATCTATTGTTATACCAATAGTAAAAAATAAGAATGGAGACCCCTCGGATAAAAATAACTACAGACCAATATCGTTGTCCACTATTATTTCTAAGGTGTTGGACAGTCTGCTTGATAAGCAACTGAGAGAACACGTTACCCTGCATGATGGGCAGTTTGGGTTTAGACCTGGATTGTCCACTGAAGCTGCTATTTTGTGCCTCAAGCAGACTGTCCGATACTACACAGACAAAAAGACACCTGTCTATGCCTGTTTTCTAGACATGTCAAGGGCCTTCGATCTTGTGTCTTATAATGTACTGTGGCATAAAATGTCAACAGAAACCACACTGCCTGAGGAACTGGTCTCCATTTTCAAATTTTGGTACAGAGGTCAAATAAACCACGTCCGATGGGCGGGTGTTGTGTCAGAGGCCTATGGGCTGGAATGTGGTGTGAGGCAGGGAGGAATAACTTCACCTACCATTTTTAATTTGTACATAAATGGCCTTATTGAAGAGCTCAGCGGCACAAATGTTGGATGCTCTATAGACGGTAAGTTGATTAACAACATAAGCTACGCAGACGACATGGTGTTGTTGTGCCCTTCAGTCAGCGCGGTCAGGAAACTTTTAAATGTATGTGAAAGGTACGCGGAGGCCCATGGGTTAAGGTATAATGCCACAAAAAGTGAAGTTATGATTTTTAAATCTGGTGCAAAAACTTACTCGATGCCGACTGTTACACTGTCGGGCGTTGCTGTACCGGTGGTAAATAAATTTAAATACCTTGGCCATTGGGTCACCGATGACCTTAGTGACGACCTCGACATAGATAGGGAACGCAGAGCGTTGGCGGTGAGATGTAATATGTTGGCTAGTAGATTTGCACGGAGTTCGAAAGAGGTAAAGCAGACGTTATTTAAGGCCTATTGCCAGTCGTTTTACACGTGCAGCCTATGGACAAAGTACACACAGAAAGCCTACAACGCTCTGCGTGTCCAATATAACAACGGATTCAGATTGCTGTTGAGGCTGTCACGCTACTGCAGTGCCTCAGGGATGTTTGCCGAGGCGCGAGTGGACGGCTTTCACGCAATAGTGCGCAAAAGAATCGCATCGCTGATGCGGCGGATGCGGGGTGGCACCAACAGCATCCTGAACACCGTGGCCGTGAGGGAGGACAGCTCCATGCTGCGGCACTGGGTACGGGTGCACCTAACACCCGCTGCCCAGAACATCCGCTTTTAATGTACCTACCAGATTTGTTTCTTGTGTTTAGATATAGGTTTACTAATAATAGAATAAGATTTTAATGTTACTAACAATTTATGGGCCATGCCTGAAATAAATGATTTTTAATTTAATTTAATTTTAATTATTATTATAATAGAAAAATAACTATGAACGAAAAAGAACTACTTCCATATCTAGTACTGCCTTCAGATATAATCAGTTATAGTATTAGTAGATACTTACTACCACTATAATATTGAGGTTAGGAAAAGAGAAGACGGTGGGGTGAGATAAAGAAACTTTGTTAGAACAGTCTGATCAAGCTGTTCACAGCGAGTAAAATAAACAGCTAACCAGAAGAACACGAACTTAGCTTCCGTCAGTTTACGTCTATCAGAGTCCAAATGGGTGACAACAGAAATTACTTTTTTGTTATGGTTATGATAAAATAAAATGTTTTTATAAATGCAATTTACGAAAAAAAGTCATTTATACAACATAATCTGCTTTGTTTGATGGTTTGTCGATATTTTATTAGTTATTCGGTTTTAAATATGACAACAACAATATTATATCATAGGCATTCACAATGATATTCATTAAAAAATAAAATATTGACAGGTATTCAGATATTAGGATTTAGAAAGACACAGTGATAGCGGTTTGTGGCGTGATACTTTAATACACCATACAAATAAATTGCGACTATCGATATTAACCACAGACAATTCCACATCACTAGTTAGGATTGCCTTGTGAAATACATTTTTGTTTCGTATTTGCCATTAAGGATATAAGACCCATATTAGAAAAGAGTAAGCCGCAATCAAGCGAAATCTTACATGTGACTATAGAGGTTGTCGATATTAAGAAAAAGAAAGAACATTTTTCTGGAATCCGAAGAGAGCTTTATGGGTTACCAGTATGGACACCATATACTTAAATGAAAATCACTACTTGCCGTGAAAAGTTATATGAATCATTACCAGTTTGAGTAAAATTATGCTAATATTATATGCCGCAAAGCGGTAATGACGTGAGAGTTTTTGTATTCCGGTTTTGAAGGGTAAGTAAGGGCGCATTTACTCGACACGAATTTCGTCGCGTTCACCCCGGGCGGCCGCCGTGCAGCCTAACTAATAAAAAGATCCAACTGTCATGGCAAAATATGCTCTATTTATTTAGCTTTTACGTTTTAGCGAGCCTGGTTTGAATTTGATCTACGCGGCAGCCAGGCGGCAGCCTCACTGTTGTATTATTATTCGGAGGAATTTAAATATTGTTGCCTAGTAAATATAATTCAGATTCGCCAGTAATGTACATGAAAGCGTGGTAACTGGGCGATACCTTGTGGCGGCCTTTTACAGGTACTTTGAGAGTCAGTTTACGTCTCAAAGTGACGGACGGCAGTGACCCTGAAACCTTTGCGATTTAAAGCTCTGACTGACACTGCAACTGCATTGGACAGGCGTTGCTCCAGGCGCACAACTGGTTTATTCGTACAAATTGTTCCTATAGTAACGAATTATCAGTTTAGTTTTATTCTAGCGTCTCACACTTCCGCGGCAAAGTTGCTTGATGTGCGTACGTTGCTTAAATAGTCAGCTACTGTGTTAGAATAGATAAATAGACCTCAAACCTGGTAATGTTCGTTAACGCTCGTGTTGATGGTTTTACGTGCGCGCCCACTCTCTCATAGCCCCGCAGTAGGGTGCCATGGATACACACATAGACAATCATAAATTACATCCAAACTCAAGAGAGAAATAAATGTAGGCCATACAAATATTTCTTCCAATCCAATCCACCGTTTGCGTCTGCGTGACAGTCCGGCATGGTAACAGTTCGGCCACAGAGGCAGTTATAAAAATTAAAAAATGTTAAAGCTAGTATGCGAAAAAGAGCGGCTTCCCTGATGCACAAAATGAGGCTGTAATAGTCTCCTAAGTGTAAGTAAGCAATGATGCTTTCATAGTTCAGGGACAATTACATAATGGTTACTACGTAACAGATACATCACTCTCATATAAAATCGAAAACACCTACGCTACAATAGCCTACTAAATCTAACTAATGACACCAGGCGCTCACTACGAGGAAAATGGAACCTAAGCACGCGCCTAGAGAAGTGAAAATAACGTTGCCCGCCGTATGCAGTCGTGCGGAGCCGAATGCTCATAAATTAAAGACTTGTATGAGCGCTTGCGCCGACGTCGGCGTACTCAGCGGTAGGCACTTATCGCGTAACCTTGGACAAGTGACGGAGCCCTAATTCTGGGCTTTGTCATGAACACTGGACCCGAATGCATATCCCCTCACGCGATGCGCTCCTCCTACCGCAAAATGGCGGCTATTTGGTTTCGCAAATTAGAAAAACATTCAGTTTAAATACAAGTTTTTATAAATAAAAATTATTATTCTGCATTGCTAAATAAATATCCTCTGTACTACCAACCAAAACATCTCAAATAAAATGTAGTAATACACCGCAAATCCTGCACTTAAAAAGAACTAATGAAATTTTTGGTGTACTTGGATAAATATGATAATATTCCGTTTGAGTGGTTCTAACGTTTACCATGAAATTACTCCTTAAAGTATAGTTTATAAACATTTATATTCAGGGTAAACTTAAAAAACCGCTACTTACGGTTTGTTATCAATAAATAAACACCGAAATCACCAGCCCAAACAATAACACACACAATTGTCGTGACATATTTTTGAAGTTGTTTATTTTTTTAAATGACAGACCCAGGCATTAAAAACTTTATGGTTTGCTAGAGTAGTTACCGAAATAGCAATTAAGATCAGTTCTTTTACCTGTTATAACTTCGATATCCGATAAATCGGTATAAAATCATCACCGGCACCTCTAGGTGTGGTATGCGTTTACGGCTGCATGTATCGCGTGAGCGGATATTAATGTATACAAAAAAGAATATTTATTTGTAATACTTACTCTATTTTTACGACTTCCATGGTCGAGTGGCTAGCATACCGGCTTTTATGGTGTCACCATCTCTGATGTCCCGGGTTCGATCTTCGGCCGGGGCAATTTAGAAAACCAACGTTTCTGTTTTGGTCGTGACTGGGTGTTTGTGGTACCGTCGCTGTTTCAGATTTCCATAACATAAGTGCTTTAATTACTTACTTTGGGACCAGAACAGTGTATGCGATGTTGTCTAACATTAAAAAATGATTTTTTTTATATATTTACCCTTATGGATGAATGTCCGAATTATTTGTTTTTTATTTTATTTGTTATGACAAACTTATTTACATTATAAATAATTTTAATATGTAACCTTTGTTTCAGAGTAAAACACTAGATTTAGCTCTAGTGTCGATATACAGAGGAGGAGTAGAATTAGCATCAGTCAGCCAATATGCTGGTTCACCGTACAATACTACAGATAGGTAAGTAATGAAAAAAACTTTCTTTTACTCATCTTTGTAAGTATGAGAAAAATAAACCAAAAGTAGTGCATAAATAGTTTATTAAACATAGCACGTAATAAGTATATAGATGTAAAAGGAGCTACACTAGTAAAACAAACGAATAATTCATACAACTTCATCAGTAAGTTACACAAAGATCAATAACCAATGATCTTAAAAACAAGATGTGTTAGGTACATAGTAATCGACGTTTGAAATCTGTCACGCAACTTATATAAACTTAAACGTGTCCGTATCCTTTCATCATGATCGTAAAATCCGCCGAAAGTAATCCACTTTCAAATTAAATTTAATAAATTATTCTCGCTATTTAACATTGATTGGCCTTCTAATGAAACCTATGTTTTTTTTCTTTTCTGTGTTCACAATAATTATATAAAAACGTACGGTACAAATCTGTATAAATAAGGTTGCCGACTACAATACAGTCAGTCATCTATTAAATTGTGCGATTTTGCTGCCTGCAGTGATAGTATCTGCACTTATAATCTATGATCCGAGTTCATGCTTCCTTATCGCACTTGCCACAGGAATAATTTACTATCTTTATCTAAAAATTAGCAACTGTTATTTATCAAAATGTAAATATTTTTGCTAACTTTAACAAGATAATAAGTGCATTTTTTAAGTAGACGCGACGGCATTTCTTTTTAAAACGACGCTATTTTGCAAATGTCTAATGCGTCGCTTTGTTCGATGCAGACTGATTGCAAGATGGTAAAGTTGTCTGATTTTCGTATCTTCAAGATGCGGATGTTAGTAATATATCTGCCTTTTTCATGTGTATCAGATCATTGGACATAACTTATTGTTATTCTAATTTTTTTCAACAAAAGGAATTGATTAAGTTAAATTTCTTGGAATTCCCACGACTTGGTGAAATTTTTCATTCGATGCAATAAGAAGCAATCCTGCTCACATGTCTATTTAACTCTCCACCAATCACACTTCAGCGCGGCAATAACTTAACCAATAAGAAGCATTTTCGTTATAATTATTATTAAAAAAATCGAACACTCAGAAAAAATCCCTTCGATCCGGCCGGATTCGAACCGTCGTCTTCTAGCATACCATGCGCTTGCCTCGTATCTTTGTATTTGGTTTTTCGACGACTTTTTAGCCGTAGCGCCATTTATGAGAAATCTATGATGTTTTGTCACCCAGTTAGATACCTTTACAGCTACCAGCCCCGGCTAGAAATGTCGCTATTCATTGTATTAAATTTTTTATTGAGTTGAGTTTAAATTATAACAAACTAGTGGAGTAATTTCACATAAAAATAATTGAATATCAATGCGATAAATATTTAAAGAAGCATCTTCGTTCACATGTTTAATTTTCTCGACCAATCACACGTGAGCGTGATGAAATCCATTATGTCAAAAGTATTTTCATATAGAAATGTTGAATTCAAATATAGCATGACACATTTATTAGGTACCTTGAATATCGAAACGCAAATTGTAAGCGAATATGGAATTTTGTTTTAATGTTTTCTCATAACACGACAGAGCTACAAATCACAGTTACCAAGCACGAACCTTAACAAATACCTGTATCTTGAATAAATTTAAGGTTTTCGGGTCACCTCCATAATAAATGAAGTTTAGTGTTGTCAAAAGGCAACTAAACAATTTCTGGATATAAAATTTTCGGACATTCGCGCTTTCGAACATAAAACAATTTAAAAATCTAAGCGTGCACTTTAAATTTAGTTACTTAGCATAAATGCTGACATAATAATACAGGTAATTTTATTTTTATAAGCAGTCTTAAATTTGCCGTATTTATTTTGACGTCACTTCGTCTGGTTACGTAGTAATAACTATGTAAACTATATTTTAATATGTTATAACTTAAATTAAGTACACTAAGGTCCAAATTTAACTACTATCTAACAAAAACGTGGTGACGAAGCTCTGTTTTCGCAACCAACAGGCCTAGCATTTCTACTAGCAATTTTTTTTACATTATTTCAACTTTCGTATTTGTTTTACCGTTGTAGTGTAGTAGTTGTGCAGAGGATTTATGAGTCTTACAGAGACCTACTCCTACTAGTGTAGTAATTTTTATTTTGCCATATCGACTTTAGATTACAAGTAAATATGACTAAGGCCAGTTTTCGGATTTCAAGGAGTGACAAAATAATCAAGCCAACAAATATTGATTAGTCGAGATTGCAGGGTTCAGTTATTTCAATATAATATCTCTTTTATCAACTTACAAAGTTACAAAAAACGTATTAAAAAGAAATTAGACCATTTTACTGATCAAAGTTTTCGGGAAAATAGTTTCATTTCCCGTGTGTAACAATCGCGAAATCCTAAGACCTCGATATGTTATTATTTTATGAATTAGATTTCATACCTAACTCCTAAATTATTCCAATCATCTAATAATACAAATCTCTATTAATTTCTTTGACATAAGGCCTATAGTCACGCAATAAGACCCCAACTTTGCAAAGAACAATAAGCCATATCTTAGCGATTTTATCCAAATGCCGAACACGCCATATTGAGTCGACAAAGTCATCCTTTCCCATCGAGAATCGATGTCTCGCAAATGTAGATGTATCACGATAGCTTACGAGGTCATGATTTATGGCCCTCAATGGGTCAGACCTTTTCCTTGTCCCTTATTCCTTTATGTCTCACTTTAGGTCCGATACAGATGTGAACAATCTTTTGAAGTACGGACAGCGGTCTCCCTTCACACTTAAATCCAGCTCTATGTCACAATAAGACGATTCTAAGTCCAATGTGTAAAATCCAACGTGCGTTTGGCAGTGGCGTAGAGATTGCGCGACAGTCTCACATCCTCTTGCGCTTGGGCAGTTTGCCGTTACAATTCGAGGCTATAGATTCAAATTCAAATAACGTTTACTTACCTATTGTTCTTTTTTAATCTTTAAGTTGGCCACTGAAAATATACCTATTTATTCGTATTCATTATTGTTCAAATCTATATTTTTTATTATACCAAGTGACGGGACGAAGTCGTGCGCCTAGTGTTAAGCAACAGGCATGTCCATAAGTTACAGTGCCACTCATATCTTTGAATCGCTAAATTCTGAGGGGCACTGTCGCTGCACACGTCATCCCTAGTGCTTGTAATATCACGAGCCTCTTACCCTTCAAAACCGGAACGGGATAATGCTCACATTACTGCTTGGCGGCAGAAATAGGTAAGTTGGCAGTACTGCCCTGGACGAACTCTTTTGCAAGGAGCTCTATTGCTGCTAAAATTTATATATGTATATGTAAAAATCAATGTTGCAATATGTATAAGAACCATTTTAAATTATCAAATGGCCCAGTTGTTTCTACAAATGTGTGTACAGTCGAAATACATAATGTATTCGAGGTTAAGTGGAAAATAACAAACAAAACAAAGTATTTGAATTTTAATCAATTTCAAATAAAGAATAAATTTACGATTTTTAAATTAGTAACATATGCTGAGCTGTGCGACAAGTTATTCATAACACTATGCGAACTTATTTTTTGGACTTGTTCAGTTTTTATTTCGTTTTTTGTTTCTTAATTTTTTTTTCACAAAAGTTGTTTGGATGATTTTTTCCAATTTTGTTTTGTTTCTTTGTTTTTTATTTCACAAAATTCGGGGAGTATAATTAGTAAATAAGTATGGCTGTTTACAAAATAAGAGAAACTGGCCAAAAATTAAGTTGGCGTAGGGTTTCATTTCAGATATCGATATTCAAGACTGACATATTATAATAATAGTTTTAATAGAGGTAATGGCTAGAGCAAATGAATGAAATCGGGTTCAAAAAATATTCTTTTATTCAATTCACATGTATATTCAGCAAGTGAATTTGTTTTCTCATATATTCAACTAACTTTGAAGAATATTGAGTTCTCAGGACCATAAAGTGCACGAAACCTTGGTTTGTTTGTAACAAATAAACGCGATTCAGATCTTCCGTCCTTCATTCACAAAACATAACTAACACATAGCTTTTATTGGATCATTACTCCTATCATCATACCATCACGCCTGATGTGATGTGACGTCTGCGCCGGTGGGAGAGCCCACTGGCGCAGACATCACAGACCTCCACCCGCTACGCTCCTGAAACTTCTTTCGCTTCATCTCTTGCAGCAATCTTTTCTCACACACTTATTTCAAAGACATCTTTAATCCGGTTGAAATCGAGAACTCATTTTCCTCCGTTTCCCTCCACTTTCGCTGTATAATTTCGTCGTTATTCTGCTAACATCCATCCACGTGACCAACTCTAAGAAGCATTCCCTTTTTTATTCTAGTCGCTACATTGTCTGTCGCACTATACATATAGTATAACAAGACCAAGTAGGGCAACTCCCGCCTGTTTGACGCATCGATAATGCCTACACTTCACATGGAGCGTACGGTTGTCACATTATTATTTTAATTATACTTACAGGTTGTAAATATAATTCGAAGAAAATAAGGTATTCATACAAGTGATTTCGTGCTATATATTAGAAAAGTCTATGTCAAATGCAATGCTTACATATTGATATTTAAAATAAACTTATTATGAAGGAAAAACATATTAATAATAAATAAGCCAGACAATCATACTAAGCACCTGATCTTAAACTATGGCATTCCCTGTATTATGAGCCAGAGCAACGAAGTTAATCCGGGGCACTATCAAAACACCCAGATGAGAACCAATTTAGAAAAACCAGTTTCGGGAACTCCTCATCTCACACCCATAATGCTAAAAACTGGATCACCAAAGTAAAAAATAAACAAATGAATAAAAAATGTGCAACTTGCCATTCATGTTCAGTAGGTAGCCGAAAAGACCCACAATTCTGAATTTGAGGCACTTTTGTTCAAACAACCATAAATACCACAATGAATATATCTACTTGACATCATCTTTTAAATACCGTGTGACGACCCGTGCTTTGTAACGTGAGTGCACTGCGAGATTATGCGAA